CCGCGTCGTTGATGTACACGAACCGCGCGTCCTCGTCGCGGAGGTCGCGCTGCGAGCCGGCGCGCTCGGACGCGGACCGCCTGGTGGACACCCACCCGAGCCCGGCGGGGGTCCCCGACGCGGACCTGTCGCGGTGGAACCGGAAGCTCTCGAGCGACGATGCCGTGGACTCGGCCTTGGAGCCCGACCTGAGGTTATTGGTCGCGAAGGTGACGGACGGCGAGTCGGCCATGAGGGACCGCAGCGACCGCAACCGCCTCATCGAGTTGGCAGACGAGTGCCGCAGTATCGGCGACGGCACCGGGTCTGGCAGCTTGGTGGGCGCGTCCATTCCTGGTGCTCCCGCGGCCGCTTCCTCCGTCTGTTGTGACGGCGGCGGCGGCTGAGTGGGCGGCGGCGGCAATGGCCGTTCCGGTCGCATGATGGTGCGCTCCTGGTTGGTACTTCGTACTCGCTGGCGCCAACTATGCAGCGCGGCGCGCAGATAAGATTGGAATCAGCGATGTTGCGGAACAAGAAGGGATCATCACTTGATTTTGTCCGGGCTGGAGTTTACAAGAGACGTGGCCAAGTTTTTGGAGCGGTCGCTTGGTCGTTTGCAGGGGATTGGCGGGGAGTTCGAAGGGGAAGAGCTTTAGCGCGATGACGCTCTGTTGCTTGCGGGAGCCGGGAGCGGGACAGGAGAGCTCAGGGTGTGGAGAACGGGACGTGGATGATGTCTTGTGGACTGTGGTGCAGGGAGCTAGAGGTGTGCGATACTAGGGATGGGGAAGGTAAAAAAAATAAAAAAATAAAAAAACCCCGAGAAGAAGTCAGTGATGGCTGGCGGGCGCACGAATTGGACCGGAATGCGTCAGCATTTGATTTTGCGCCTGCCCTGGCTGCGCGTGGACGCGGTTCACGGCATTTCAAATACCTACAGCGCTACCGTCTCCGTTCCACAATTGTACTCTCCCTGTCAAAAAAAAAATGTTTATGATAATTATACCATAAAAAACACAAGCCTCAACAACCTGTTGAATCATTTAGTTTAGAAACATACAAAACATATGCCTAGATTTGCATTGAAAAATACTTGCGAAATCTCATAAATTTAGAGGATTATAAGAATATATTAGCCAAAGTTATGTATAGAAGAGATGGTCGGAAGTCAAATATGATAAGTATGTTTGACTAGATGGAGTAAGCCGTTTTAGTTTATCCTATAAGTTGACTTTTTTTAACTTTAATAAAGTTCCCAAAAAAATGCATGAACATCTATAATATCAAACTTGTCATTCAATTCACTATGAAATATATCTTGATAGTGCACTTTTGCATTGAATGTGCATATGTTTTTTCTACAAATTTAGGCCAAAATTAGGAAATGATTTAAGACTAATGTAAATGGCTTGGGGCCTATCTAAATCCATGGAGCTAATAATGAGCCGCTAATAATTAATATCTTTGGATCCAAATGGGTCCAGCTAATGGTTTAGCTGGCTGTTAACTAGATGCCAACTAACAACTATCATACTAATTGGTCAAAACCAGCTAATAGTTAGCTACCTAATATTAGCTATGAGCTATTAGCTAGCTAGTAACTATTAGCAGCTAATGGATTCAAACTGTGTCTTTAAGTTTTATAACAAAAGATAGTAGTAAACATGAGGGACTAGTACTGGCCCAGGAAAAAGAGAAGCTTCACGCTGCCAACACAAGGAATTATTTCCCTAGCAACATTTTTCTCAACATGAGGCACACTGGAAAAATGAAAGAACTCTAAAATTATCTTGACTCTATCAAAATGTGCATTTATTTTGGAACGTAGTGAGTACTACATAATGCATGGGTTATCCCACTGTTAAATCTCCGTTTGATTTGAAGGCCGCTCGCCAATACTGGAAGCAGCAAAAAGTGATTTTGGGGTGCTCGTAGATGAATTGCATCCATCTCTAGCACACAAGTACTCCCTATATCCATGAAAGAATATAATTCTCACTTAAATAATTTGAAATTTAATCAAAGTTATATAAATACAAATATTTATAATATAAATAAGTACCATTAAACTAATTATAAAATATCTTTTTATAGTAAATATCGTTGGAGATATAAATATAATATTATTTATTATAAATTTGACTAAACTTAAATTAGTTTAACTTATACAAATTCTATAGTTACATTCTTGTGTGGACAAGGGGAGTACAAGACAAAATACAGTCATGATATATAATCTGGACTCGACTACTTGAACCCATTTCAGTTAAATGGATGCGCCAACATTTCGGTGCGCTTGGTTCACAGACCATTCCTATGACACCGCACCATGGCTTCTAGAGGCCGACCTGATATGGAAGCTTCTTAATCATGGGCTCATGGCCTAGGTCAGCAGAAACGCCGGTGGTAGACTGGTAGTAAATAGTACCACTACAACATGTGCAGATTCTTCTCCCTCGAGAGTCAACCGGGCAATGCATCAAGGTCACGCAGGCTAAATGATTCAATGTATTAGGAGTAATACGGCAAGACTCCAGTAGTTCATCGGTATTCTCGCTTCTAGAGAGTGGGTCATTCTAGACGGCTACTGGTGGTGCATGTTTCCTTCTTTGTTTACCCCTTTCCGTTTCAAGAATACCCCCACCTGTCGGAGGTGTACCGTGATGTTTGGACGGCAGGACCGTGATTCCGTGAACCGTGATGTTTTGGATCCAGGCTTCCAGCACAAGTGCACAAGTGCACAACTGTGCAAAACGCCTGGCTTCGTTCGTACCTGCACCTCTCACGCACGGTGTGACGTTTCGCTGCAAGTCATCACTCGCTCTGCGGGGGCGTCAATCGTCAATCGTCAAAATATCCACCGGCGCGCTGCGTGCACCTCAGGATGTTTTTATTTTTTTGCACAATAATAAAATAAAAAAGGTTTGTAAAACGAGCTCAGCTCGCTGATGCACCGGGATGCAGGCATGCAGCCGAGTTTGTGTGCGGAGGCCGGAATCAGGGAGGGATGGCGGCTGCGTCTCGCAGGCGAAAAGTGCAAGGAGCCCCCACGCCACGCGCCCATATCCAATAGCGTACGTATAAAGTGACATATACTCAAAATGCGTGGTGCATATTGTTTTAACGGAGTAGATAACCGTATGACCCATTTTGGGTCCGAGGCGACGCGAACGCAAATAAGCGTCCTCTCTCCGTCTCTTTGCGTCTCCACACAGCGCCAGGCCCACCACCACAACCGGAGCCGGCTCAACGCGGCGGCCGCGCGGCTGCTCCGCCTCGCCGCGGCCAGCATCGAGGGGGGCACGCGACATGAAGAACCTGCTCCGGCGCTGGGTTGCACGCCGCGCCGCCGTCGCCGCGGTACGACCGGAAGGAGAAGACGCGGGCGGCCCTAGATCCGCGCCACGCCTCCACCGCCGCCGAACGGGGACGGCCCACGCTTGCTCCAGAAGCGGCGACCGCGGGAGCACTTGACAGGAAGTCCCTGACGTCGGCAGCCGCGAGCTGCTACTGGTCCGGGCTGGCTGGCGTAATCTCGGCCTGCTGCTTTGCTCGGCCCCTGCCGCCGCCTAAGCAGGCGCGTCGGAGTGGGGGAGGGCCACCGCCGGGGTGGTGAGGGCGCCGCAGGGGTGGGGGAGGGCCACCATGGCCGGGTGCCTTGCCTACTCGCAGGCACGAGATGAGGGAGGCGCGCTGCCCGCGGACGACGACGGCGAGGCGGGCCCGCGACGGGGAGCAGCCGGCGCGGCCAGGCGTGGCCGGCGCTGCTAGGCGGGGCATGGGAGAAGGAAGGGGAATGGCGGAGGCGACGTCACGGACCTTGAAAAGGAAGGCGACGGCACGGCCGAGCGCAGCGGGGTGGCGGGCGACCTAGTCGCGTAGCCAGATGTCGAGCGCCAGCGAGGAGGGTGCGGCGGGATGCGTGCCCATCCAGAGCTCGGCGCAGGGCCGTTCGTCCCCGTCCCCGCCTCCGTCTCCGTCGCCCATCCAGAGCTCGGCGCAGCGCAGTGAGAGGAGGCCCGGGAGCGGCAGCGCAGGCATCGTCGGCAGGACGACCTGGTGGTCATCGGTGGGTGCGACGCGGAGGCGAGCGAGGCCGTGGACGACGCCATTCCATTTTCGGCCCTCTTGGTTGTTGGAGAAGGCAAATTTTGGATCCGTGACCCTTTTCTTGTGCGTGACCCAAACTATGGAATACGTGGGTTCTCATTATTGGAGACGGTCTAAGCCACCAGCCCACCAACCCGGGGGGGCATTCGCGGTCGACCATCGACGCCGACAAGAAAAAGGCTTTGCGGAATCCACAAAATAGCACCGATTCCAGTCCCAACTGCTCACTCCTAAACGCACGCGCCTTCGGTTGTTACGCCAAACAACTCGCGCATGCTCTCGTCGGCGAGAAGCGCTGCTACGCGTGAACCAAAACATCTGTCGATCAATTCCAGGCAAGCAGGGAAGAGGTGCCCTAACTTGACGGCATGTCCTAATAAAGCAAGGCTGCACGGCGTGGGCAGCCCGGCAGCACGTGGTCACGCTGCACATGTGAGCAACAATAGGGGTAAGTAGGGGAATGATCATCAATTCTATATATACCTCCAATTGCTCAATGTCCCGTTCGTTTGGCTGATAAACCATAGTTAAAAGTACAATTAGCTGATTTATTGTGAAAGAAAAATAATATTTATTGATTGAAAAAATACGGCTATAAACCAAGCGAACAGGGCACAAGTCAACATGTGAACCAGATCAAGCGGAACATGCACAACATATTAATCATAGGCCATAGATTCTTACTGTAAGGATCCAAAATACACCTCATAGTTAGCCAATGGTGGGTGCTACATGCAGTGCAAGCAGCCTCCATACAGAGCCCCGTCTTGGACGACTGGCTACTGCGCATGGATGCCAAGTTTCGCATGCTATTATAGGTTTAGGTTATACTAGATATGATAACTGATGGCATGGATAGAATATCAGGAGGGCACACAACACATATACCCTGTGCCACTAAGTTCTAGCTACTTCATGGGTTGGTCACGCTTTGGCTCTTGCTGTCGATGGTCATCCCGCTGACCTGAAGACGAAGACGATCCAACCTTGCTGAAAACCCTGCCGCCAAAGAGCTCCTTCCCGATCCTCGCTTTGAAGGGGAACTGCTTCTTGAAGCGGTTGCGGAACAATGAGCTGCCGCCGCGTCTCGGCACGATAGCAGAATGGTTCCTCTTCAAGCCACGATCGCTGCAAGGAGGGTTTGCGCTGCTGCTACTCCCACCAGCACCACTGCCCAACGAAAGGTTCCTGCTGCGAGCAGACCAGAGGGCTACATGCAGAGGTTCTGAGAATGACACATGCCCTTCGTCTTCAGTGGCTCGCGTGCACAGCGGGCAGGGTGGATCATGGACTTCTGTCTTGGGAGTGCTTTCCTCCAAGCAATCCGCGTGGAAGGCATGTCGGCAAGGAAGAACTGCTGCTACTGGCATGTCGGCGTTTCGAACAATCCGGTTCGAGGTCCAGGGTGATTTCTGGGGCAGGTATCTCTCGCACAGCCCACACTTCAGGAACCTCACTGAGCTTGTGGGAGATCTCTGGGACTCAATACTGATATGATCTGAAATGTCAATGGCATCTCCATCGTATCCAAAATCATAACTGCTGGCATTGCTCCATCTGAACCCTTCCCTTCTTGAGCTTGTGTTCGGTTCAGGTGAAGCCTCCATCTTCCCAAGTTCATTCAGTGCATTATGAAACTTGAGCTCTGGACTCGCCAAGCTGCGACGCCACAGAGGAGAAGCCCGGCTGTCATCACTCGGCGTCGCTCGCCCGGCATTACTAACCTCAAGCATCCTGCACGCTTCTGATTCTGACACAGGATTCCGGAAGACAAGTGGGTAGACTGGTTTAGACATGAAAGACCGCCTGCCCATATGGTTGCGAGGTAGATATGGGGCTGGTTGTTTACTAGACGACGCTAGCTGGCTTGATTCCGAAAATGGGGATGCAGAACTGAAACTGCTTGTGGCAGTCAGTGGTCTCTGCAGCAGATGAACATAAAAGTCAGAATTGTGATAGCAGACTGCAAAAGTATTTATTAGTTGCATTAGATCTATGCCATTTGTCAAAGGAATGTGGAGATAACACATAGAACACGAGAAGTAGCTTACCTCACTTGACTGAGGATAGTCAGAAGTTTCTGGCCTTGATCCTGGTTCAATGAGTAAAGCAACGGTTAATTCAAGAGGAAGATATCAAAGGAATACAAGAAACACATGACTGTCTCAGTTGCTTCTACAATTGTGTAGGAATATAGGAAGTCATGTAGTAATCATGGAGAAGAAAAAAATTGTGGCATAGCAGTATTTGACATGCATACCATTAATGCCAACTCCAATGTTTACAATGAAGAAAATAACATTACCCAGTAGACTCAGTTCAAAGCAAACATTGGTCTCAATATACTTGCCAGTTGTCACGCCTAAGATGATTCCAGTTCCAGATATACTAGTTAAGGCCTCTATTGCTCAATTTGTGCAAAACAGAACAAGGCAGAATTAACATGTCCAAAACTATACAACTTAGTCCTTTATGACTAATAGTGCATATAATGTATGAAAAGGTAATACACCCAACCCAATGGGAACATTATAAGCAACAAGAGTGCATGACCATAAAAGCCCAGTAGGAAATCCCTCTGTTCCAAAATATAGGTCGTTTTAGTTTTGTCCTAAGTCAAACTTCTCTAACTTTGACCAAGTTTATAGAAAAATGCATCAACATCTACATCATCAAATTAGTTTCATTAGATCCACCATGAAACGTCTTGATAGTACATTTATTTGGTACCGTAGATGTTAATATATTTTTCTAGAAACTTGGTCAAAGTTAAAGAAGTTTGAGTACAAAACTAAAATGACATACATTTTGGAATGGAGGGACTACATCTTAACACAAAGAAGAATACAATTGAAAAAAATAATGAAGTGGCTAAATGAAACAAATTACAAGTTCCCCATTGATTATGCAATGTAAAGCCATGTTTGTATCAAACCAAATTTGTTTTAGAAGTAAATAACAAAAAGCATAAAAGATTCAATAAAGAAGCCTACTCTTATTTGGGCTTAAAGCCTTAAACATTGTTCAACCCGATGAAAAAACAGAACGAGCCATAACCATGTGTAGACCTGATATGACTGAATGCATGCTGAGTAACAGAGCAGAAAATATATGAAAAGAACAACACATAGAATAGAAAAGATTATAAGAAGAGTGTGTAATGATGCAAGTCCAGTAGGAAAAAATTGGTAAATTAAATAGCAGCTATACAAGTGGATAATAAAGAATCAAATTTGTAACTTTACAACTCCCACTGATAATGCAATGGGAATGCATGTTTGTAAAGAATCAAATTTACTTTAGAAGTAGATTAAAAAATTGTAGACGATTGACTAAACGAGGAAGATATCACATTTTTCCAATCGAAATAAATTAGCACACTGTGTAAGTCTTTCCAGTGGAAGCCTCAATTTCAGCCCAACTCATAAGTCACAGTTCTATGAAGAGATAACCATATAGGAAAACAGTAAAAAAAATAGTTCGCTGCTGAGCTAACTTGACCTGCCATATGAAATAAAAAAGTACATACCTCCTGCAGGGGTAGAGAATTCACCAAGATCAAATCTTTGAAGAGAGGGTGTCCAGCGTGGAGCCTGAAGGCTGTCAGCTGGACTCCCAAAGTAAGAAAGTGCTCCATCAGACACGGAATGATGGTGATTGAGGTACTGATCACTGCCAAATGCACTTCTGCTTCCTTTGCTATGGGATGATAGTGATGAAACATAAGGTGGGTGATCATGAGGAGCATCATGAACTCTGTGGGGCAATCCATCCGATGAATAGCGGCAGTCCCATCTCCTTGACGTTGGAGGAGAGAAGCTCGAGTTTATGCGCCAACGAGGCTCAGTGGGATCCATAGAACGATCTCTGCTTGCAGGGTCAGACTTTGTCCCATGTGGCCTAGCGGCCACGCAGCAAAAAGCACCCGTCTTGACTAATTTTGGCAATCACGTGCAGAGACTATTTGCTTATTATGTTTGAAAAGCTTGATCGGAACAAAGGGAGATTATACACCGATTGGGGAGAAGGAATAGGGTCACCTATGCACATAGAAGCATGTCATTGTTGTCAATCAAGAAGATAAACAGGAAAAAATATCATCTGAAGAAAAGTCTCCTTTTCAGGGGTGATGAACATGCTATTGTCTCCGATCAACAAGGATGCATAACAGTTGAACAACTCCATTCACAGTTAGGCCACACCAAACCCCATCCAGAACACATTATAAAACATATTATTATGCATCAGGTGAACCACTACTGTGCCATAGAGCTTCTATATACATCATTCCGTAAAGCTTCTTTTTTTTTGTAATATTTCATTGCCACAAGGTTTAGTAATAACTCCCACAAGGCCACAACAAAGTTGCGTGAGTTAATCTCATCAAGTAACACCAACCTAGCTCTAGAGGTGAATAAACAGGAAAGAAATCTACTTGATAATATTTTTCTTCTTCTTGTTCTATTTGCACGTAAATATTTCCATTCCTCTGCGGTCAGTCGGTCACTGATGCCCCTATCCAACAAGAAACCCCCCGTGCAGACTAAGAGCTCGTACTTCAGCTCCCAGTCCAATAAACCACCAAACCAATCCAACTAACTCGCCCAGTAGAGGGCATGGGTGTGGCGGGTGTGCACACGTACACCCGATAATTTTTGCAAGAACTCAGGTATCGTGTACGTATATACCTGTGGTCAGATCCGAATACGAATAGCTTACGCTAGGGTTTGGGGTGTTCGGTTGCGCACAGCAGGATGGGAGGAGAAGGGCCGGGCATACCTGGTAGGTGCTCGTCGCCGGCGAAGACCTGGCGAAGGGCGGTGGCACTCGCCCAGTCGTCGCCACGAGGAAAGGAAGGGGAGAGAAAGAGAGGAAAGATAGGGGAGAGAGGAAGGTGAAGGGGAGAAAGGGAAAAAGGCGAGCAGAGTGAACGCAACGGAAATACTATTCTATTTCCACGGCAGAGGGACGCCGAACGCCCGCGAGGCGATCAGCCATCCAACGACACGCGGACGCGAGCACGGAGAAAGCTCGCGCAGGCCGTCACTCCGTCAGAGACGAAGCCCAACACACAGCCCACTTCGCTGCCGCTCGCAGCCTGTCCCGGCCCGGGAGTCATGAGCGGTGAGCGCGGCTCCGCGACTCTCCTCCCCAGACGGCCAGACCCCAGTCCCCATGCGGCCATGCCACGCAGCTGCTTGCCGACGGCCGCCGCCCTTCGCGCCGCTTCCCCGCGTGTGGACACGCAGAAGCCCGAGCTGGAGCTGGCGAGTCTGGAGAAGCCGCGGACGCCTCGCCCTCGCCGTTTTAGCGTCGAGCCGCCGACTCTTTCCCCCTTTACTCCTTTTGCTCGCCGCCGGCCACCTTCGGTTCGCCGGCTAAATTCGCCACGACCATTCCACCTCCGTCGAATTACTCTCGCAGCCAGGTGCGCCTTGTCCGTGCGCGTCGTTTGATCCCAGACGCGCCGTCCGTCTCGCCGCCGTGAGCTCCTTCGCCGTGGACAGCACTCTGTGGAGCGTCTCTCTCCCTTCTTTCTCTTGTTCTAGCTTTGCCTTGATGTCCTGGTACTCATCGGCTCGGCCGTTTCGCGTTTGGTGCACAGGACTCGCCGGAACATCGCCTCGACCGCCAGTTCGCGCCGCCGCATCCGCCGTCGTCGTCTTCAGCCGTCGCCGCCTCGCCTCCGCTTCTTCCGCCGGGAAGAGCAAGTCGTGGTGAGCTGCTTGGACTTGTGCTGAACCCTATCTAGGCCGATTAGGGCCAGTAGCGTCGTGTCCGCCGCCGCGCCATCGCGTGCCGCCATGGCCGGTGTTGAGCTCGCTCCGAAACCCTAACCGCCCAACCAACCCCTTGGGTGTGTCGCCGGCAAGAACCCGCCGGTCAAACGCGCTGCACCCGCGGCTGTGCTGACCCAGGCCCTGTCTGTCAGCCTCGGTGGCTGGACGTGGGAACACATCGTTTTTCCAGCGGTTTTAAGTTTTTTCAGAAAATGTTTAATCTATGCAGTTTCTTGTAAAATGCATAGAAAAATCTAGAAATATTCTAAAAATGTGAAACTTGTTTTGTTAGTTTTGTTATGATGTACTCTGCATGTTAAAAATAATTGTTGGCATAAAACAGTATGATGAAAACTGCATAAATGTTATTAATGGATACGTGTTGTTTATTTTCTGTAGCATAAAAATGCATAAATGTTTATTAATGGACACCTGTTGTTTTGAAAAATCTTACTTTCTTAATTGATTTATGTGTGTCTATGCCTTTTATTTAATAAATGCTTAAATGGCTTAAATAAATATGTAAATTGCTTTTATGTGTTATCAGTCGTGTTTGTGGACCCTGTAACATGAAAAAAAAACTACTGTTCTTTGGGAAGTTAAATTCTTTCTTAATAAATAAATAATCAACTTGTTGGTTAATAATTAAATGCTTTTTGATAAGTTTAAACCTAGTTGTACCGTGAAGGAACCCAAATTTGTTAACTTTGTTTGCATTCACCAATACACATATGTGCATCTTTCATTCATCATATGCTCATGCAACTCATTATGTTAAGCATGCGTCATAGCTACGTGTAGTGAACGAGTGTGTGGAAGGTTTCGTTGATTAAGTTCTAGAGGAAGAACATCAGCTAGTGGTAGTGGAAGTTGGGTTTGATAGCTGTGGTACTTTAGAAGAGCCTGACTACCCTGCTATGTTTTCTCCAGTAGAAGTTAGGTTTGATATATGTGGTACTTTAGAAGAGCCTGATAATGACTTAATTTTTAGCTAAAACATTGAAAGTAAGAATACACTTGTAGTAAGCTTTTATTTCAAAGTAACTCCTGATTCTTACTTGGATCTCCTTGTATCTCCTTAAGCATGCATACTCTTGGAGTTTTCTCTTTTAGCCGGTTAAGTCTTGCGGAGTATAATTCAGTACTCAGGGTTTGTTAACCCCTGTACTCAAATAGGCCAAGCCGAAAGGTCTCATACCTTTACTGGTATAGGGAGTTCTCCTGAAGCTGCAGTCCAAGATTGCGCCTATAATGCTATTGAATGCCTTAGACGTAGATACTCGGAGCTCAACAATTCCTACTGAAAGCATCTAGGCCCCTACTTTGGTTTTGGTGATTAATGACGATACAAGATTACTGTGACTAATGTGTGTTTTGCAGAGGCAACTTGAGTTAGGTCATGGTAATGGTGATTGATTGGGCAATTATGGTTTTCATGCCCCTGTCGATGGAAATCGTTTTGGTTTTCAAAGGATGGACGACAAGGTTAAGGACGAACTAGTTCTAAGTGTCATTTAACGTTGGAGAGACACTTATAATAGTTTAAGACTTTGTTTTTTTTCTTTGACCGTACTATTAAGGGGGTATAAACTACTAGCTTGACCTAGGTGAATCTAATGGTTTAGATGTGGTGCACACTTATCAAACTTATCACTAGGTAGCTCAAGGACAACCCATAGATTAGTTGAAGTCGATGTCGTTCACAAAGTTGGTGGAATTTGAGGTGAATGGAGACTTGGATGATGACCAGACACTAGACCGGACGCACAGGTGTCGCGTCTGGTCAGTGTTAGCTCGCGCAGCTAGGGCTTGCTCATCGATCGGACACAGGCTCCTAGTCAGGATCAGACGCGCAGGTGTGCGCAACTGTAGAGCAAGCAACACTCATGAAGGATCGGACACTGTGATCTGACACACTAGAGGTCGCGTCCAGTCAACAACAGTAAGCATCCAGAGAAGGAAATTGCTGACCGGACGTGTTAGATGAGTGGTGATCGGACGCTGGTCAGGGTTCAGTCTCTGATGACTGTGCTAGCGTCAAGTAGCTGTTGGCTACTGACCGGACGTGTCCGGTCACTTTGACATGAACATCCGGTCACCTCGAAATGTGCTGAGTTAGACCCCAACGGGTATGGTTTGAAGTGGGGAGTATAAATAATTTCCCCACTCGTCCAACTTAGCTCTCTTGCCCATTTGTTCACCTGAGAAACACCTTTGGAGTGTATGGGAGACCAAGAGCCTAATAGGGTGATCGAGATTTGATAATCCAAGATTAAGGACCTCATTAGTGCATAGGGAGTAGCAAGTGTGCATCCACCTTTCTCATTAGGCTCGTGATGAAGAAGCTTAATTTATTTGAAATGCTTCCTATTAAAAGTGCTAATGAAATGTATTCACGCTTGAATGTTCTTATAGAAGAGGTCAATGGGTTTGGACTCACTCAAATGCAACCATCCGATGTTGTGAGAAAGATCTTGAGTGTCCTTCCTATTGACAAGTATGTGCATATTGTGATAGTGCTTCATCAAGGCGATCTTTCCACCGCTACACCAACTCAAATATTGGGGAAGATCAATGCATATGAGATGTACATGCACATCACTCCACAAGATGGCTCTTCTTCCACCAAGAAGAAAGATTTGGCATTCAAGGCTAGCCAAGAGAAGAGGGGCAAAGCAAAAGTTGATCATGATACCTCAAATGATGATGAGATTGATGATGCAAGCCTTGCTCTCATGGTGAGAAGAACCACCAAGATGCTCAAGAAGCTAAACAAGAATGGTGTCAAGTTTGATGGCAAGAAGAAGAAATTCTTCACTAGTAGTAGAAGGAAGCCCATCTCCAAAATGGATTGCTATAATTGTGGATATTTTGGTCATCTAGCTCATCAATGCCCTAAACCCAAGAAAGACAAGTATAAGAAATACAAGAGCAAGAAAGATGACTCAAGTGATGATGATATTAAAAAGAAGAATAATCCATACAAGAAGAAGGATGACAAGAAGGAATTTCACAAGAAGAAGAAGAATGGCAAGGCTTATATTGTTGATGATTGGCTCACGGACGTTGAATCATCA